GTGCTGCCTGCGTGTCTCACCCGCTTTCTGCGTTCCCCATTCCCTGCGGCTCCCGCTCCTGTACCGGAGGAATGTCAGCGCTGGGAGAGCTTTGGCAGCAAACCACAGTGCGATTAATCTGTTCCCAGCAAAAATCCGGCTCTGGAAATAAAGGGGGATGCCATGGGGTTTTACTGGAGGGGACGCAGCTGGGTGGGATTTCCCTGTGCTGAGCCGGCAGAGGGGACAGAGCGCTGCCTCCAGCCCCTTCCAGGGAAAATTCCTGTCTGGAATTCCCCTCCCTGGTCACCACAGCCCTCAGGGCAGTGTCGCGGTCCCCCCTGTGCCGGGAGGATTCCGCGTGCCCTGGAATTCCTGGCTGCGAGTCCCGGAGCTGGCACAGCACAGGCAGCGCTTTTATAGAGCAGGGCTGCCTCCTCCTCCTCCTCCTCCTCCTCCTCCGAGCCCCAATGACCGCCCCTGAGCTCCTGCCATCCCAGCCCCTCTCCCTGTGGCTTTCCCCCCCTTTTCCCCTCCCTCTGCTCCTCGTTATTGCTCCACGCCCGTTGTCACTGGGATGATCCCGGGTTCTCCCCTCTGCCTGCAGAGCATAAATACCACCGGGCAGCCCTGGGCGGCTGCGCTGCTCCGAGTCTGAGCACAGACCTTGCACATCTCGCACCTCCTCAGGCTTATTCCGTCCTTTTTTTCCCCCTCTCCTCCTCGTTTAGATATTTCAGATACGTTAATTTATTTCCCACAAGCAGGCTTGGAGGAGCTGCAGTTACCTGGAGACTTGGAAGTACTCAGCAAGGTAAGTGTAAAGTTCAGTCCTGGCTGCTGAAGTTTTGGCTTTAAGGGTGGTGGGAGTGCAAGAAATGACTCTGAAGAAGGCACAGGTTTAGTAACTTCTCCAAAAAGTTGCCTGGATGGTATAAAACAACACAAAACTGAGCTTCCCTCGTGTGTGCCCTGCAGAATTTAATGCAAGATTAAGAAGCATTAATCTGGAATGAATGGGAGGAGTTTGCAAGTACAGGAGTGGATTTCTATGCAAATAGAGAATATCCAAGGGATGCTGCTGCAGTCCTGTGGGCACATCTGTGTGCTCCAGGCTGCCTGTGTTTGTGCTGCTCTGCTCTCAGGTCCTGTAGGAAAGGAACTTCAGCATCACCACATGTGTCTGTCACCAGTGGGTTCTCCATGTGGCTTTCCATAGAAATTCACTCACTTGGGTTCTGTGGGAGAAAAGGAAGGTCCAGATGTTTTAACCCATGGCCTTGAAGATGCTGAATCTGTGGTGTGCCCAGTGCAATGTGTCACTGCTGTCCTGTGCCTAGGAACTTGTCATCCTCCTTGTCTTTGGAAGGCAGCACAATCCAGCACAGCTTGGGGTGTGTGCATCCCAGGGAAAGAGATGACCTGGGGTTTCCTGCATCCTCTTGTGGCTTTATCCCTGGATTTCTTTGCACAGGTTAAAGTTGATCCCAGGCTAACTCATCCTAGATCCCAGGCTAACTCAGGTTAGAAGCTGATCCCAGGCTCAGTTTAGAAGCTGATCCCAGGCTGACTCCCCTCTGCTTCACTGTTTTAAATGCTCTCCTGACATCCTGAGCCAACTTTTCATTTTCCATCCTCGCCAGCTGGTGCCATGTGTAACTCCACAGGCCCTGGGATGTTTTAGCTGCAAATGTCACCCACAACCCAGGAGCAGGAGCCCACTCATGTGCTTCACCAGGGGGGCAGTCAAAGCTCAGTGCCCCTAAGGAAAAAGGTGATACAGGGACATGAATGCAGGATCAGCCTGCATGTGGCTTTAGCAGTGTCTCTGCCAGGCTTCAGATGGGAGCAGCTCTCCTGCTTTCCTGCACAGCAGACACCATCCATTAGCTGGGGAAATAGCTTTCTAAAAATAACCTTTCCCTAAGTCCAGTGCTGCTCTTTAACTCCCTCAGACCCCAGAAGGCCTCCCATTTCTCCCCACTTTGGACAGGCTTTCCAGCATCTCCAGGAGTCCTTTTCTGCTGACTCAGTCGTTTCTGATGGCTCCCAGATGTTCACCTGGCACCAGTGTCAAGGGCCTGATGTGTTTAAAGGGAGCTTGTGCTCCCCTTGAATCCTCGAAATCAACAGCAGAGGCTTCCTCAGCTGACTGTCAGCTGATGATTTCCTGTGAATAATGTCAAACCCCAGCTCAAAGGCAGTGTGATTCTATGATTTCAGCCTCCCTGGGTGAGGCATTGCTGCAGCACACAAGTCCCAGTGTTCTTCTGCACCTGGGCATGGGGATACCGAGAGGCAGATGGATGGACATCTGAAATCTGTGACAGCTTTCTGAAACCTGAGCATCTTCCAGCTGCTTTCAATTAATCTGGTCAGGGAACTCTCTGCTCCCTTTATCCTCCCTTGGGATGCTCCTCACCTCAAGCTGAAGCAGAGGACGGGACTTGCACACCCCGAGTGAAATAGATTAAGCCAAAATGACCTAATTTTTAAGAGGTGCTGGTATCCTTTTGCTGGCAAGTGGGAGCCAGGGAAGCACATCCCTGGAAAAGTAGGAGTAAAGCACATCCCGAGGAGTAAAGCACATCCCAAGGAATAAAGCACCATCTGTTGGGAGGTTTTGGCTGCCTCGCCGCGCCAGACGCGCTGCAGAGCGCTGAGCGGGGCAGCTCCTCTGGCTCTCAGATGCTACAGCTGACTTTTTTCAATCTGCCCTCTCTGAAAGTTCAGTGTTTGCCTTAGATGGGTGGCGGATTTGGGCTCCCGCTCAGCCGAGGGCAGGCAGCCAAGCGAGGGGTGCAACGGGCGCCTCTGAGCGCCGGCTGTTCCTGCAGGGAGGGCTAAATGGCCACATTGTCAATGGCCCTGGCAATGCAGCTATTTTTAACCTCTCAGGGAAGTGCCTCAAAGTAGGAATTGTTCCCTGAATTTGGGTCAGACAGTCTACAAAAGCAGCTTGCTCCTTCTCCCCTGCCCCTGTGCAGCCGGGTCAGAAATTCGGGCTCCTGCCTGGGGGGAAGCGAATGCCGCAGGTGGGGCTGAGCAGGATGAGGTTAAAGAAGTGTCTGTCTGTCTGTCTGTCCCTGTGCCACCGACTGTCCTGCCCTCCAGGTGTGCCTGCAGCTGGGGACAAGGCGTGTGTGTTCGGCTTGCTCTGCAGAGCAGGAAATGATGAGGATTTGTTACCCAAACTGAGCAATGACATCCTGCATTGTTGTAGCCAGGCAAAGGCTGCCTGGAGAGAGGCTGAGGGCAGCTGGTTTTCATCTGCCTCGACGTTCAGGCCAAGAAAGAAGCCTCAAGCAGGGACTCTGTGTCTTTTGTGCAGTCAGCCAACAAGTTTTCTGGGGTTCTCAGAGTTTTTTTTGGGTTCCTGCCTGTGCTTGCTGCTGTTCTCCTCAGATGCTGCTCTAGCAGGTTGGGGGACAGAGATTTGGGGTTTTGTGCTCAAGTGCTGCTTTTAGCTGGGAGTCAGATGGCTGTTCCCTGCTTTGGTTGGCTTCCAGCTCCTCCGCTCTCAGAGTGTCCAAATCCCGTGTCATTGATGAAACTTCTCAAATAATTCCTGTTAATCTGGGGGTTGTTTCCTGCCGCTGCAGAGGAATGCTTTCAGCGTGGCTTCCAAGAGTGCTGTCAAAACCAGATCCTCACCTCGTGCTGGGAAACTTTCTCCCAAAAATTAACCGTAAGGAGGGAGATCCTGTGCTTGCTCTGTCTGTAGAGATGCTTCTTGCCCTGGATGGATTGATCCTACTCCAGGGCCTCAGCGAGTGCTGCACAGCCTCCTGTGAATGATCCAAACAAAACCAGCCAAGATGCTCAAGGATTGCTAAACTGGAGCACGGGAGGGCTGGAAGTGCTTGGGGATGACAGGAGGAGCAGGAGCACTGTGGAGCAAGGGATTAAAGGAAGCTGCTCACAGACCAGATGTCACTCTTGCACCGAGACGGACACAGGAGCAGGCGAGAGGCAGGGCTGTAGAAAAGAGAAAGAAAATTTAATTTAAAGGAACTGCGCGGTTTTATAGAGTGATGTGATAGGTTCTATTCGATTGGTTAACTAACAAAAGTTAGTTAGCCAATTGAATAGAACTGGCTAACTTCTTTACACACTGTCCTTGAGAAGAACAGAAGGACGAAGTAGAAAAACACCACTTGCAAATTGTTTATACTCAACAAGATCTTTCCAACTCTCTAAAATTCCTCGCAAGCCGCTGTGAGAAACGCTTGCTGTTCTCTCTCTCTCTGTCCCACGGTATCCACAACCCAAGATCACTCTGTCGGTGCTGACGGCATCCGAGTGCCTGGGAACACCTAATCTGGCCGGGGGAGGGCGGCTGCTGCCGCTGCTCCATCACTCACATCCCGGGAGCGTCAGCGAGAGCCCCGGGTGCGTCAGTGCCAGCGGGGACCGCGCTGCTCCGTCCCGCGGTGACATTTCCCAAAAACAGCCGCTCTCACCCGGCCCTGCAGCTGCTCTGCTGCCGCCCCAGAGCGGCTCTTGGGCTGCCCGAGCTCCTCACCCGCCTGGCTGGGGGTTGAACTTTCCCTTTTGTTCATAAAATAGCGAATCTCGGCTTTGCTCTTTGGGGGATGGCTCCAAGTGTCGCCCTGCCTGTGGAGGGATGGAGATGGGGTTGCTCAGAGCTGATGGGCATTGCAGGGTGGCAGCTCCATCAGGGGTGCTGAAAGCATCCTCCTGCATGCCTGGGAAGGGTTCACTCCCAAAGCAGCATCAGTGAAACTCCCAGGTGTAATAAACTCTGAGTCCTCACCTCTTTCGGTGCTCTTTGGGTCTCCCTGTCTCTGGGGTGAGCAATAATTTTAAGCACCACTCTTTTCCAAGCTCAAATCTGGGCTGTGAGACCTCGTGGTTGGGGGATAAATGCTCTGAAATCTCCTGTGGCACTGCTCTGATTCTCTGTTTCTCCCCAAATTCCAGAGCTGCACTGACCCAAGAGAGTCCCTGCAGGAAAACCCAGCATCATCATCACCTTCACCTGTGCTTCTGCTGGCAGCATGGCTCCTGCCCTGCCCTGGATCATTCCCCTGGGATGTGTGCTGCTGCTCACAAAGACAGCTGAGAGCTTCATCCTGCCCAACTCGAGCCACCTGGAGAGCATCCTGAGCAAGTACCAGGATGGGGAAGCTCACTCCAGGTCCAAGAGAGCCATTTTGTTCTCGGACAGACAGGAGATCCTGATGCTCCACAATAAACTGAGAGGTCAGGTGTATCCAGTGGCCTCTAACATGGAATACATGGTGAGTCTAGAGCCTGATACATCACTTTATTTCTACTTTTATTTTTTTCCCCTAACTGTATTTAAATTTTCCTTGTGGTGTGAGAGGTGTCGCAAATTTCCTCTGAAGTAAGTTTTTCTCAAGGAGTTTCCTGAAGCCTTTCACTCCAGAGTGAAGGATGCTTTAGATCTGTGGCCTGTTTTGCTTGGAAGGGGCTGCTGCTGATGGGTCATCCAGTCCGTCCTCTGCACAGTTCCAGAAGTGGTTCCATTATTCATAAAGGAGCATCTGGCCCAGCCCTGGATGCATCTCCAGTGATGGCAATTCCCCAGCCTGCCTCAGCAGGTTCTTCCATTACCTCCAGGTCATAAAAGCAGAAATTTCTCCCCAGTGTTTAACCCCTGCTCTCCCTGTGAAAGCTTTCAGGCTGTTGTGGGGACACCTCAGTCTGCTCAGGGGATTTTCTGGTGGATTTTGGGTTACCAACTCAATGCTGGAGGTTCACCTGCCCTCAGTCACACACTGATCACCTGAGCTCAGCAATGTGAGAGCCAAACCTCCACGATGCTCCTGGGAATCTGCACGGGACCACAGGGAAACGGGGCCTGAGGAATGTGGCTCCATCTGCAAAGGAATGGAAATAGCTGGAAAGGCTTTGGGAGCTCTGGGTGGATGGGTCAGTGCCGTTGGGTTTTGTAGCTCAGGAAACCAAAATAAAAATTTGGTCAATGTATTCTCCTGTTTTAGAGGGAGAACCTAGAAGTTGGAGGAGTACAAAATATGCCTTTGCCATCAACAATTCACATGAATATTGTTTTTTTTCACCTGGTGCCAGAGACCCTACTTTGAGCTATTTTTGCCATGCCATCAAAATATTACAGGGCCACAAAATGATGTAGGCAAATAATTACTTTTTGTGTGCCTTTTCCCAATGTGCAAATATAGTTCTGATCAAAACTGGCCTGACCTCAGCCATGTGCCCCTGCTGACGGATCAAATCATGGATGGCTTGTTAAGGCCACGTTTTAAAGGGTAAAAGAAGAGTAAACTTAAATGTAATATAAAATTGTCTTCCAGCTGTGCTGAAGTGAGGGCTGCAGATGGAAAATCCTGCCTTTTGTGGCGGCAGGGAGAAGGGGAAGAGGAGGGAGGGCAGGGGATGGTGAGGAAGGACAGCTGTCCCTCGGTCCGTCCCCACCAGCTGGGTTCTGCCAGAAATCCCTTGCCTTTCTAAGAACAGGGGATTGCATCCCTTTCTCAGCGTTGTCCTGCAGGGAAGCACTGCCAGGAGAGGCTGCTTGATGCATTTCCAGAGGGCAAACACAAGGCAGGAGCTGCCCAGGGTGTTTTGGTTGGCCCTGCTTTGGCAGAGCCCCGGCCCGGCCGCTGTTTGCACTCCTGTGTTTGCCTTTGCTCCGGGAGCTTTTCTAGTGGTTTTCATGGGTGATGCAGGGCCAGTGAAAGGGCCTTGTGTGCTCTGAAGAAAGGAGCTGAGTATGAGATGGTGCTGCTTGGAAGGGCTATAATCAGCCTTTCATGTGCTCATGTTTACCCAGTAGGACTTGGAAATGCCGTGTATGTGCTGAAGGGGAATTTCTCTTTAATCCTTTGTCCTGCAGAGGACATTTCTCATTTGGACTCGTTTAAGAGGATGGTCTGTCTGTAGAGCCATGGATAAACTTTCCTCTTTCCCCTTGGTGCTGGAGGGGAGCATCACTGGAGATGTGCTGGGATAATTTGTGGATGAATAGGGTAGAGCTTGTTCTTGCCCATCAACCTCCAACCAATCCCTTGTGAAAATCCTTCCTCCCAGCTCCATATCTGATGTATTTAAGTGGTCTAAAAGGGAAATGGGACCTAATACATTCCAGGAAAGGAATATATTTAACTGCTTCTGGATGAACTTCTGGTTTTGGACACTGTTAATGAGAAAGCAAGGCCACAGTGAATTCTATTACTTATCTGGAGATCAAAAGAATTTTTATATATATATGGGATAAAGGCAAAGTAGACTGAAAAATGAAGAAAGAAACAGTTTAGCTGCTGGGCCTGTGTAATTAACTGAAAGCTGGCACAGGTATTCAGTGCTAATGGAAAACGAGTGAGCAGGGCACAACTTCCTGACAAAGCTGGGCCAGTTCAAAATTAACCTTAACCCCTCTACCAGCTCCGTGATCGACACTTCCAGAGTGCATTTGGATGCTGAACAGAGGTGGGTGGGTGCCAAGGCCAAAACAAACTCCTTGTTAACAGCCCCAGAGTGAAAAGCACATAACGGACTCAGAGGAAAAAGGACAAAATAGGTCCTAAGGCACGGTGACCTTTTGGGATGGCTTAGTCAGATGCTTTCAGCAGTGATGAAAGGCAGGAATCTTTCCTCTTGCGGCGGCCCCAGAGACAGCTGGATAAAGCAAAATTGTTCTCAGTGCAGATTGCTGGAAGGAAAATAGTTTGCTTTCATGTATAAGGTATGCATCCTTCCTCTCAGCTGTAGGGTGGCGGCTTTCCCTGTCAGGATGGGGCAGCGTTTCTGTGGGGGTTAGCAAAAAGCATCTCCAGACCTCTGCCAGGACATGTCAGCCCTGGGGTTTGATGCCACTTTTAGAAGGAAGCTGTATTGCAGAAAGTCTGGGCTGGGGAGAAAAATGAGCGAGTAACCTGATCACTGCAATTCAGGTGTCTGGCTTTGGGTTTGCAGGCTCCTCAGGCTGAGGGAGCAGACTCCTTGTGGGATGCATTATTAAACTTGGGCCTACAAGTTGTGGTGGGATTTGTGTGTATGCCATGCATATATTTTACATATACACTGTCCATTCCACTTTGAAAGGAGTAAAAAAAAAAAGAGAGTCCCTGTGCTAACCCACTTGGAATCACACACACCCAAATAATTTTCAACCTCTGCTTCTGAAGGAAGCTGAGCACAGGCTCATTGCCCCTCTGGCTTCAGTCATCTTCCTGGATACTGCTTTGAATATTGGCATAAAGAATTCTTGCAAGTATAGCTGGGAAAGTCTGAAATCTCTTTTTTTTTTTTTTTTTTCTCCCCCTCTATGTTTATTGCTCTGAAATAATTCCAGCCTCCTGACCGCATTCACGTCTGAGAAGCAAGAGGCAAATAACTGCTCTAATTTAGATGGGATGGCTTTGTAATCTGATGCCTGCAGAAAGGAGCTTCTCTCCTCATGCAGCAAAAAGCTGTGCAGAGATGGAGCTCCGTCCCAATTCCCTGTTAAGTGTCTCTTGTCCGAGTTCATTTATTTTATCCGCAGGCATCAAAGGGAGACACAGCGCGAACGCGCGCATTAATTCCCATTTAATAGCCCGTTGCTCAGGACGTCTCTGCATTAAATTAAGAAATTTGGAACATCTCCGCCTGCGGGGCTGCAGGGAACAGAGCTGGGTAGGAAGTCTGGGGAGCTGGGAGTGCAGAACAGCTTGGGAGAGTTTCTGTGGCTTCGATGCTGGATGGGAGGGCAGCTGCGAGCCCACAGGGTGGGGAACCACAAAAAGCTGTGTCTGCTGCAAGAGGGCCGGGGATGTGTGGCGGGTCTGACCCCATCACTCCCGAGGAGCTGAGAGGGAAAATGGTTCGGTTCCCTGTGTCGGAGCTGTGTCCACACGGGGTTGAATTTTCTTGGTCACTGCTGAGTCCAAAGCCAAGCTGGTGAGACTGGGGCAGCTCTGGGATGCTGCTGGAATCTGGGATGCTGAGAGTGCTTCACTCTTCTGTGAGCTCAGTGAGATGAGGTCATGTTGGCCTCTCTGAGACAGTGCAGACACACCAAGCTCCAGGAGACACTGCATTTTCCTGTTGCCTTACCCAGGGATGCACAGTCCTTCCCCATCCCAGCTACAACTGCCTGAGACTGTGTGCAGATATGCTCAGAGTGAGCACTGGATGGTTTGTAAATGTGTTTGATGCCCTGCAGCCCTTCGGGTCCTTTGAAATGCTTGAGATCAGAATTTGCCTTTCTTCTGGAGGAGACAGCACTTGGAAAGAGCAGCTGGTTGTGATGGTAAATGTCCAAAGAGGACAGTCTCGTGCTGGCATGTGGATGGGCTGGGTGCACATTGCAAGACCTCTCCTCTCTTTGGTTTCATTCGTAGGAATGTGTGGTAACATTTTAATCCCAACCAATTATCCTCTAAGGGCTGCCCTGAATAGAGCAGCTGTCAGTAATCACACAATGAATTCAGGGCACTGGCTGCTGGGCCCAGAGAGCCTGGCCTTTAGAACAAATGCTCTCCTGGGCAGCAGAGCCAGCAGAGCTGCTTTCCTGTTTGCCTTTGTGTCATGCTGCAGCTCTCCTTTGGCTCACAACTCTGATATTCGATGAGCAGTGATCTCACCCCAGCATCCTGCCCTCAGAAATGGGATTTGTCACTTCTAACGTGATGCCTGCTTCAGTGAGAGTGGAAAAAGCTTAAAAAACCTTGGGACATTGCCACCCCTGATGTATTTGACTGGTGGACTCTCATTTATTCTGGAAGGAGGAGGGGAGCTGAGACTGAGAGCCTCAGACCCACAGTTCTTGATGAGGGGGTTGGATCAAGGATCTCCAGCTGCGTGGTGGTGGAGGTAGTGGAGCTCTCACCTGGTGGGAAAGCCTGGAGATATCCCAACAGTAAGGACAATGGATGAAAAACCATCCTGGAATGCATCAAAGCACGGAGTGCGTGTCAGAACTCCTGCAGGACTCAGAAATATGTCATATGGTCATACTGGAAATCATGGAAACCCAGAAAGAAATAGGTGCCATGTTGGAGATCATGGGATCCCAGAAATGTCTGTGTCATGTTGGAGATCATGGGATCCCAGAAATGTGTGTTATACTGGAGATCATGGGATCTCAGAAATGTGTGCCATGTTGGAGATCATGGGATCTCCAAGCTCGAATTTTAATTTTTAATTTTTAAAAACATATTAGGAAACCAACTGCCAAGAACATCTCGTGGTTCAGGGTGGATGGTCTGGATGTGCTCCTGAGGTGTTCCCACGTGGGTCTGCGTGTTTTCTGATGAACTGAGGGAACCATTTCCCCAGATGCATGGCATCAGCTGGGGAAAATCACCAACCCTTCAGTGCCCTGGACTTTCATGGCAGGGGAACGTGCTGAGAAATGTGATTTTAGCGCAGAAACGCGGTGGCTTCACCAGGATAGGCCAGAAATAAGGGTGGTGGTCTGTACCTTAATCTTTGTCCACTAACTGCTGTTGGTTTAATCTCTTGATTTAGCATGTTAGAGATGCAAAATTGACCTGTTCTTTTCTGTCCCCACCCCTGCAGACCTGGGATGAGGAGCTGGAGAGGTCAGCACACGCCTGGGCCCAGCAGTGCATCTGGGACCACGGGCCCAGCGACCTCATCAGGTCCATTGGGCAGAACCTGGCTGTTCACTGGGGCAGGTAAGGCTTGGGGTGCCACAGGACCATTGCAAAGGGTGATTTATGGGCCCTCCTTTGGAGAGAGACTGCTGGAAATGTTTGCTCTGGTGCTTGGTGGAGCGCTGGGGAGATGGGAGAAAATCTGGGGGTCATTAATTGTGATTAATTGTGATTAATTGTGATCAGTGGGATGGGTGTCATGGTAACTCCTGCAGCCACCTTCCACTGAGAGTTCCCAGCACTGATTTGGGCTCCTCCATCCATCTGGATCTGGGGGTAGCACCTCTGTAACACGCTCAAAGTCCCTCCTTCTCCTTGAGGAGAACAAGTACAGAAGCCTGAACCCTTGCTCCTAAATCTGCTGTTTGAGGGGCTTCTGGCATCATGTGGCTGAATGCTGAATTTTGTCAGAAGCAATGTCTGCATTCAGCTCAGAATTTGTGTCTGGATTCGGTTCAGAATTTAATTCTCTCTCGCTGTGTTTTCCATGAATATTTATCTGGCTCCTGATTTTTCTTTACTGAAAACACTTTGTAGGTTTTTTTTTTTTTTTTTTCCAATTCCTGGGACAAGTACCTAAACTAGAGTCATTAACCCAGTTAGGAAAGCTGACATGAAGGCTTCCAAAGGGATTTTCCTCTCCATCTCAAGATGAAATTTGTTTATTGTTAAGCCCCTGTTTTTAAGCTTGCTATAGGTTAAACCTGATTTCCACAGCAAATATTTTGTACTTGCTCAGGAGCACTGAACATTTTCCCCCCATTTCCTGGGTGGAAGTCCAGTTATCTTTGCTGTAAATCAGGTAGAACTTGGTGGAAAGCAAAGGAAATTTGCTGGTGTGAAATTAGCCAGATGTAAAAATTGGGCCCATTTTAATGTTTGGCAAGTAGAGTGGTTAATTAATTGGAAACAAAGTCAAAAGATGGTGCTGTTCTTGGCTGTCCCACAAGTGCTCAGGATGGCCATGGGTCCTGATGGAGGAAGATCCAATCTTGGTCCCTTTGAGGTCCCTGAGAGGAAAGAAAATTCAGATTTATCTCAGCTCTTTCAGGAATGGGCCACGACTTGATTGCCTCCATTTCCTCTCCTGTAAAATAGGACTCGGAAAGAATTTGCCTCATGACATCATGGGATGGATGTTTTTGAAATACTTCTAATGAGTGATTTTTAATGAAAAGTTGGCTGAGGGGATAAGCTCCAGTGGGTAATGATATCATTTGGAATTCTGGCAGCTGGCTTGGTGTGAGCTGTTGAAAGCAATCAGAAAGCAGTGAGTTTGGTACAGATCATTGTGTGTGAAGTGTGTATGAGTTTGTACAGGTGGTTTTGGCACCATCTGTGCCCCCCAAAGATCACAAACAGCATTAGACTGTGATATCTGAGGCAGAAATTGCACACAGGGTATAAGGGGCTTGGTGCAGGGGAATATTGCTGCCAAAAAAAGGCAGGATAGGAGTGCAGAGCACCAACCACTCCACACCAGCTCCTGGTGGGATGTGGGTGAGGAAAAGCCCACTCACTTTCAAAGTTCTTGCAGTATTGGCTGTGAGTTAACTCCCAGATTTAGCAAATTGCCCCCTGGTAAAATAGGTACACGATGGTTTTTGGTTTAAGATGTTTGGCAAAGCCCAGCTTGTGTTTACTTTCAAAACACAACTTCCCGCCAAACTAGAAGTTATTTTGTAGTTGAGTGGAAAAGGGAGAGGGCATTTCAGGTCAGCAGCACTTGAGGATCTTGTCAAACCTATAAATAATACAGAGTCAGGTCAGGCTGTGAATCTGAGGGGAAAAAAATCATAGAAACACACAACAGTTTGGGTTGGAAGAGACCTCAAAGATCTTTCCAGCTCCAACTACCCTGCCATGGGCAGGGACAGCTTCCACTGTCCCAGGGTGCTCCAAGATCTCTCCATCCGGGCATTGGGCATTTCCAGGGATCCAGGGGCAGCCGCAGCTTCTCTGGGCATCTCCCCACCCTCACAGGAACAATTCCTTCCCAATATCCCATCTAACCCCTCAGCTTTAACATTTTAAAAAACCCTTTTTTTTGGTTTTTTTTTTTTTTTTTTTTTTGGGAGGGGGGTTATTTTGGTTTTTGTTTGTTTGTTTGTTTGTTTGTTTGTTTTCTAATTTGAAATCTTCAATCTTCTACCATCACATCCTGACTCCAGCTGCCTTTCCCCCCCCTCAGGTATCGGTCTCCAGCCTTCCATGTGCAGTCCTGGTATGATGAGGTGAAGGATTACACCTTCCCATACCCCCACGAGTGCAACCCCTGGTGCCCAGACAGGTGCTCAGGTGCCATGTGCACCCATTACACCCAGGTAAAGCACTCCAAGGGCTCTGCACCCACACTCCCCACATCCCCCCCCCCCATGTCTGGAATGAGCTAAATTTACTTATTTTCAACAACCACGCTTCCCTTACAGATAGTCTGGGCCACCACCAACAGGATTGGCTGTGCCGTGAACGTCTGCAAGCAGATGAATGTGTGGGGGGAGATGTGGGAGAACGCTGTCTACCTGGTCTGCAACTACTCCCCCAAGTAAGGCAGAGCAGCTGGGCCCCCTCCAGCCCTCCCAACACTGGCAGCTGCCTCAACCAGCTCTGGGGAAGAGATTTCAGGCAGTCTAGACTGCTGGTTGTGGCTTTAAATTTTTTTTTCTTCAGCGCTGTGCTGGTTCAAAGCTACAGAGCGAGCGTTGCCTGGAAAACTGAATGGGAGGCTGGGGCCAGGCTGGAGCTTTGATGTCCCTGCCACGGGAAGGGAAAGGAGGAGCAGGAGATGGAGCTGGCTGCTGAGCAAGGCTTGCTCTCTGCTGTCACAGGGTGGGAAGGGATGGGCTGGTGGTGGGTGCCAAAAAAACCCTGAAATAGCTGCAGCAGTCAGGATTTCACCGGCTCGACGGTTTGACTAAATTTCAAAATGAAAATCATATTTCTTTGCCTACTACATCCAGGAGGAGTTTACTACCTGGCAGTGGCAGTTGAGATTTTCTGGTTTAATGGCTAATAGGAGAAACATTCTCGCTCCAAGCCCTTGGCAATTTCAAACTTCAAAACAAAATAGGGAAATCTCTGTATGCAAACAGAGTGGCTTGGGGAGCACCTGACTTCAGGGGATCACAGAGCAGGATAATGCAAAGGAAAAAGAAATGTGGGGCTGCAGCTCTCTGGGTGGGTTCTCCAAGCCCCTCTCCCCACGTCAGATGAGCACATTTTGCTTCTGGTTTTGGGGGATTCACCAGCCTGCTGCTCCTGAGGGATAACAGCATCTCCCACAGAGCCCCCTCAGCAGGCTGGGAGATTTACACGTCATCCATTCAGAGCTGCTGCATGGAAAAACACTCTGTTTCTGCAGTTTCTGCTTAATCTCCCATCTCTGGCACCGGTGCACATTGTCCTCATGTAGCCTTATAGGTGGAGACAGCTCAAAGAGCATAACCCAGGAGTTTATAGGCACAGCTTAACTCCAGCTCCTTCAACCTCCCCATCCCCTAAAACCTGCAGGACAGGAGGCCAAAATGGGCTGTTGTTTCTGGGGGGTTTCATCAGGAAAATGCAGTAATCCATTGATTCATTTCTGTTCACATAAGACCCTGGTGTTGATATTGGAATGTAATATAAAAGCAATATGGCACACAATTTAGCAAACCCCTAAAAAATGTCATTTTAGAGATGGAACGAGCAGGAACATCTTTCCTACAAGGCTGGTTGTTTAGTCTCTATTTATTTGCTGTAGGCCAGGATGGTGTTTCTGGGTTTGGAGGCTTGGGAGGCTGTCTGGGTGTCTGATGGGTGCTCATTTCTCCCGTGCTACCAGGGGCAACTGGATTGGGGAAGCTCCATACAAGACCGGCCGTCCCTGCTCCGAGTGCCCTCCCAGCTATGGGGGGAGCTGCCAGAACAACCTCTGCTACAAAGGTACCTGCTGGGGGCCTGGGGCTCCTCTGGGGTGGGGGGCAAGGCTGGAGCAAACCTGTGGGAGGTTCTAATTGGGACCAGCCACAGCTTCATGCCCCTCTTAATCAGCCGTCCTCAATATTCCGATGTTGGGAAGCGTGGGAGATCATCAGCTACGGAAAGCAGGAATCCCTGAGCTGCTGAAAGTCTGGAGCTGGGGTTCAGCATGTTTTCCAGAGAGTTTGGATGGGGAGAAGGAGCGCTGAGCTCCCATGGGTTTGGCCTGGGAGCTGTAGGGTGTTTTGAGCACTGGCAGGAGCGATCCCATCCTGGTGGGGTTTGCTGGGGAAGAACATTTGCTGGAATGTTCTCCAGGGCTTGGCAGAGGCATCCTGGGTGGGCAGAGCTCGCCTGCCTGCCCTGCACTTTCAGGGGCCACGGGTGGAGCCTTTGCCTCCCTCCCCACCTTTCAGGGTGGGGGATTCAAGGGATGGTTTTCAGCTTTTCAGGGATGCAAAATGAACCTGGCGATTCGTGTCCCTTGGAGGAGAGGAAGGAGATCCTGAAGGGTTTTTCCTGACCTGTGGAATGTTTTTGGAAGAGAAGTCAATAGGATAAAACAGATTATTAGGGTGAGCCCTCCAGCAGCAGCATCCAGGATCTCCTGGGGCCATTTCTCTCCTCCCCAGTGTTTTGCTTCCCAGAGAGTTGAGCTCTTTGAAAACAGGGAGATTCCCTGGAGACTTGCCCAAAGCTAATTTTGCTGCTCCCATGCATTTCTCATTTTTTATCTTGTGGGGTTTGAAGGAGGACCCCAGGGTGCAGGTGGGCTCCAGCAGGGAGAGAAGGAGGGGGATGCCCTGATGGAATATGAGCCCTTCAGCAAGTTTGAGTTTTCCTCCAGAGGGAAGAGCTCAGTGGGAAACAGAGGAAGGAATAACAGCTGGTTTTTTCACTAATTAGTGAGGATTCCTTCAAATCTTTATTGTGAGGTGGTGTAAATGGCGCTCCAAGTGCAGAGGAGCAGGGGAGGAGTGTCCTGGCAACAACCCTGTGCTGCCTCCAGTGGGCATTTCTGATCTCCCAGCTGCCTAAAAGCAGATCCTTGTCCAACCAAACCATCCCCACTGACCATGAACCTGACTTGCCCACCAGTGTGAGCACCCTGTGATGATTTTGAACCCCCTTTTCTGCCCAGATCACCGCTATGAAGATCCCATCATTGCTGAGGCAGACGAGACCAATGAGGTGGAGATCCCGCAGGTGGCCGAGCAGAAGCCGGTGCAGTTCCACCTTCCAGAAAACAAACCCAGCAAAACCCTCAGGCCCAAGAAAATCACCCCAGAATCCTACATGAGTAAGACACAAACTTGCACTTTTTCTTTCTCTCTTTTTCTTTTTCTTTTTCTTTTTCCTATGGGTTTTGGAGCACCTCAGTGCAAAAAGGTGTGGGAAGTGATGAGGAGGCTCAGGGACAAAGAAATTGGGAGGATGTTTGAGTGGAGGAAAGGTGATCTGTGTGAAAATTCACTGTGTGAACATCTCAGCTGTGCAGAAAGCTGCTGGAAGTGGTGAGCAAAGCTCTCAGAGCATCCCTGTGGCCTCCTCTGACTGACTCCAGTATCCCATGTCCTCCTAATCTCAATAAAATATCAATGTACCAAAAGTCCCCTCAATCAGTAACACGTTTAGGAAACACTGGTTTTATTTCTCCTTTAAAAAACTCTGCACTCAGCACTTACCCTTCTTCACAACTTTTCTGGGGTTTATGGCTTGTTTCCTCTGTATTCCTTGGTGGGGAATATTTCTGAAGTTGTTTGTGGAGCTGCTGGTGCTTCCTGAGCTGTTTTCCAGCCGCTGTTAATTAAAAGACACCAATTGAGAAAACAAGGTGGGGCAAGCCAGAGGGCCCTTCTCAAGTTTATCAGCCAGCATCTGGAGAGTCTGTAATTAAAAGGAGAATGAGAGCTCTGAGTGCAGACCTCGGGCTGCAAATCAAAGCCTTCATCTGTCAGCTGCATCTTCCCTGCTAATATTCCACAGACACCTGTCTCAGGTGAAGGGCTAAAGAGGCACCAACTGCTCCAGGCTGCATAAAATCAGATTTTATCTTGCTGCACCAAAGACCTCCAGGAAAGATGTGTGGAGCTTGCTCATTTCTGTAGCTCAAGAGCAGGCTGAGCAATTTCCTTTTTTAAAAAAATGTATTTATTTGAGTTTTTTTCCTCCTCCCCAGCACAAGTCATTACCTGTGAAACCAAGATGAGAGACAAGTGCAGAGGCTCAACGTGCAACAGGTAGGGTTTTGTTGATACTTCTTGGAGTGCTGAGGGGAAAAGTAAATAAATATTTACTTTTTATTGCTATAAATATGTATAATAAATGATAATATATTGATTATAATATATAATATATGATATATGATATATGATATAGTATATTATATATAATATATATTTAATAAATATTTATATTTTATTACTAAATATTATTCAATTCTTGCAAACATAGGACATATTCCACTATATATATTTTGTGACTCTCTAGGTAGATCTCATTAGGAAAAGCCCAAAACCCAAAAAAAAAAAAAAATCCCCTAAATTTCTCTTAATTTAGGCCTTCAGCCTAGCCTGGCAATAAGGTGATTTGGATGATTTTACTCAGCCATGATGACCCACAGTTTCAGGTGTCCAAAATAATTTAATAAATTTCAGCAGAGTCATTTTTCGAGCCTTTTTCATGCATTCCACTGCTGCCCAAGGCAGACCAATAATTCATGGCTTGTCCCCTCCCAGCCAGTCCAGAACTTCTGCTTGAGGTTTGTGCAGAGAACAGGACAGTTTATCACTTGGAGAAAAACCAAATCCACAGAACCTAAATATTGGTCGGGCTCTCAAGGAGGGTGGAGAAACTGTTTTTAAAAAAGCAGCTATTTTGCAATCTTGTTTTTAAAACAGGAGAGCTACGTGAAATGAATGGAATGACTATTAAAGTGCAATAGAGTCAAAGTCTGTTTTTCTTGAATTGTTTTTCGCCACCCTCAAAGATAAATATCTTTACTAGGTATTTGTGCCCAGCTGGCTGCTTGTACAGTAAGGGAAAGATCTTTGGAACATTTTATTATGAAAGTGTAAGTACCTTTTAATAGCTGCTGGATGTAATTTGTGGGAGGCAGTGGGAATGACAGGAATGGGAAATGCCAGCCATTCTGCTGTAATCTGGCTCTTCGTGCTCTCCGGTTGTGGGGCTGTAAAATGGTGCTTATAAAGATTATCTGTATTTTCCTCATCTTGCTGTTGAAAAAAGGGAAGGCAAAGTGGCTCCAGATGTGATTTTGTCAGGAATTGTCCTTCATGTCCCATGGAAAATGAGGGATGAGCACCAACAGGCAGCTCTTACAAAGATCTCTTTGCTCCTATCATCTGAACAGACAACTTTATATAAAAAACACTTAAATTTTATAACTACATAATATTTTGGGCTGATTTGCTTGATCTTAAATTAATAAGATAATTTATAAATAAAACATAGCACCATTTCCCCATCAAAACTGCTTTTTGGTGTGAAGGAAGTTGGAAGATTAAAGGGGGTTTTTTTGGGTAAAATCAGGTTTTCATTTCCTGTTCCAACTGTTGGTGTGTGACTGCATCACCCCTGATGTGTCTGTGCCCTGGAAATTCTGTGATTGCAGACACCCAACCCCTACAAGTGGCGTCAGCAGAAATATTTTGGGTTTCAATATTTTCTCGAGAACTGGAAATATTTCAGACTGGTCGCTCGCTTCCAACACTGCTTTTCCTCTAAATTGTATTTAAATGTATGGTTTTGTTATTTCAAAAAAAAAAAAAAAATCTTGCCATTCAACCAGGCAGCGCTTAAAATAATAGTAATAAAAGAATCTGTATTGGGAGAGGAAGATTTAACAACCAGATTCCAAAGGAGTGTACTCAGCTTATTTTCCACTTGGTGGTGGTTTCATTTCTCCTCTGTTTTTCACATAGCGCTTGGGCAGCGTTGCTCTGTGAATGAGATTTATTTCATTTCATTTCACATCTATTTATCTCCTGTCAGTCCTCCAGCATCTGTCGGGCTGCAATCCACTATGGAATCCTGGACAACAAGGGAGGGCTGGTGGACATCACCAGGAAAGGGAGGACTCCTGCTTTTGTCAAATCCACCAGGAATGGTGTGGAGTCATTCAGGTACTGCCCTCACCAAAAACTGTTAGAATTACCTTTAAATACACCCAAATATTCAGTCATTGTTGCTCTCATGTAGGCACAGTGCTCCAAATAATTCTACTCTGCTTATTTTTTTTTAATAATTTTCTTTTTGTTTGCTTGTTTTACAGGAAAAGCAAACCTTCGAATGCATTCATGGTTTCTAAAGTCACAAGTAAGTTTTAAATGTTGAGGGGGAAAAAAAATATATTGTTGCTGGTGTTTTATGGGGGACTTGAAAACATCATTCCTTTCAGGGCTCTTTTTCATTTCCAGTGGTTGTGTCGAATGGTTCTGTGCCACAACCAGACCCTGGAGTGGTGGTCTGGGGTGATCAGAACCTTAGGGTCACAGCCCACCCACCCTGGGCAATTCCACCTCATTTTCCTGGGAGGAAAGTAGAGAAATAGGTGAAAATGGGCCAATTCCAGCAGCATCTCCTGCTGATAGATTATGTGGGGTCCAGATTTAGCTGCTGATAGTGAAGGGGTGGAAGTTGAGCCATCCATCTTTAAAGCTTCAGTCAATTGTCAACTCTTAGAAAAACCGAAAAAAAAATATAGTGGCTAATGCCCCAGTGCAGTAATGTAATGACAAACACAATTCATGTGAAATTAGTTTTTAACAGTGAATCATCACATTTCTGATGGGCATACAAATAAACACTGCTCTGCTTTTTAAACAATTCCCACTTTCTGAATACCTTTGAAAAAATCCTCCAATGCAGAACCATCCTTGTGATGAGATCCACCCGAGCCCCTCTCAGGGAGAACTGCAGGTGTCAGGATATTTGGGCTCCACATCTGGAGCTGCAGCAAACCCAGGTGGTGTGGATCAGCTGCTTGTCTCTTCTGAAAGCTGTGACCTATTCAAGGCCACACTGTAGTGGCCTTAAAAATCTCCAGGATTCCTGCTGGAGAGCTGGTCAGCCCCATCCTGGGATCCTGTTGCTGGAACAGCTTTTCTCCTGGTGCTCAAGGGTCCCACCTCATGCATTGTGTGGCTCTGACTTGTGTTTTCTGCAGCAGCCTGAGCTTTTGGGTGTAATAATTTGCCTTTCCACGTTTATCTTGGCAGCACAGACTCTGGATTGTTACACCACGGTAGCTGAGCTGTGCCACTTCAAAAAGCCAGCGAGCCACTGCCCAAGGTAACACAGATCTGTTGGGTTAAAAACCTCTGTCCTAAATGAGGGGCAGCTTCACAGAGGTGCTGAGGGCCCTGAATTTGAGGGATGGTGGGAGAAGAGCTGATCATACTGGTTGAACTGGAGGAGGGTGTTGGGAATTGTGTGTTTCCTCCTGCCACCATGCTGTTCTTGGCATCACTGTAGAAAATTCACTTCATGTTTTTTAGATGGCCTCAGTAACATATCAGCCAGGCTGCACAATCCTGTCTCAGCACACTCCCATGTGTGAGTGTGCAAATGTATGCTCTTTGTCTTTTTGCTTCTGCACTTGCTGGGTTTTGGTTTTGGATGTGGTTTTCCTTTCCACCTTAAAACATGGAAGAAGTTTGTTGTGGAAACTGCAGGAGTAAGTGACAGGGCAGGGGGGCACAAACACATGCAGAGATTTATGTGCACAGAATTGAGCAGAAATACAGGTAGTCCCCCTTGAAAGGGTCATAAAAGACCAACCCCTCTTCTGCTGGTCCAAATCCCTCTATTTGCAGCTCTGCAGCAAAAACCAAATGTCATCTGAGGGGAGCGAGTAATCAAATTCACTGTTGCCACCTGCAGACCAGACGCAGGCACTCGAAATCTCCCAGGAATGCAGCTGGCCTTCCTGTGCAGCAGAATCAATCTGAATCCATTGTTTTCCAGGATTTACTGCCCTGCCCACTGCAAGGACGAGCCATCGTACTGGGCGCCCGTGTTCGGCACCAACGTTTATGCAGATGTGAGTACCAACATCCTGACTGCCCTGTCCCACAGCTGGGCTCATCCTGGGCTTCAGGGGGGAAATTCAAACTCTCTCGTGGTTATTCCGTGTGGGGATGGGCAAAAAGGGGTGAAAGATGGGGTCAGCAGGCTTGGGGAGCCCTTTTGGTCTCCGTACACTGATTTATTCAGAAGGATTTGGATGTGTCACTCCACAACTCCTTGAGTTGGGTTTGGTGAGTTGTTCTACTCTCCAGCACTGACTCCTTCCTAAAGAATTAATCATGGCCATTGAGATTTGGTCATGTCCCTCAATCTCCCCAAGCCTCTGGGCTCTGGTTGTGAAATAATGGCTGTACCTGTTTAAAGCAGTTTGAGATTTATAGATGAGCACCAAAGGGCTTTTATTCCATCCTATCACACTACAGAGCTGACAGAAAAGACCTCTCTCTCTCCTTTCCTCCTCTTTCTGGGAGAGGAACAGCTTCTGAGCAGCCAGGACAGAGCTCAGAGCAGTGGAAACAAAAGTGCTGGTTTTATGGGTTTGTTTTTCTGAGCTTTGCTCAAGGGGATGAGCTGAGACTTGATGCTAAAACTAGGCAGAGTCATTTTCTTGAAATCTCTTACCATTAGGCCTCCAAAAACTGGGTCTCGATGTTTTTCCATTTGTGGGTGTCTGGTTATTTTGGTTTTTTCCCTCATTTTCTGTTTTCCATCGGGGGCTGTGTTCAGGAATGGCAGCTCCCTGGCTGCCCTGTAGGATCCTGGTTTAGAAAACCTGGGGAAAGCAGCCAGCACATTGTGGACCCCCAGCTTCAGGTGACCCTGGAGCTTTGCAGACAGCTGAGAAAATCCATCCTGCAGGAATCATACAGTAATGTGGAGAAGCAATTTTGAAAGCAATTTCAAAAAAGACAAAAAAACCCCAACCCCAGACTATTTTTAATTTTGCTCCAGACCAATTTTTTTGAAGGCAGAGCTGCACAAACAGGTTATCCTGGACTAGCTCACAGGCAAATCCACGGAGCAGCTGCCTCCCTGCAGTACCTGCATGCTCCCACCTGCAGGAAATGGGAAATAGTTTTGTCTTTTTTACAGAGGACAAAGCTCCCTCAGATCAGCCCTGAACAGGGCCTGTGATTACAGGGGAATTAGGTGAGGAGCAGCATCCCAGGCTGGCACTGCACTGACGCAAAAGGATTAGTGTCCTTTAATGAACCCATTTCCTACTCTCCCTCCTGGGTATTGTTTCAGAAACAGGGGCTTGGGAGAAAAACAAAAAGCAGCGGCAATAAAAAAGTATTTGGCCACTTCCTCGAGGGTTTGGTTAACCTTTTTGTTTGGACTGCTGTGCTAGCAGGGTGGTGTGGAGGTGTCAGGAAAGAATTGAGGTTGGTGGCAGAGCAGGTGGGACAAAGAGTTTGAGGTGGCTCTGAATGGTGCTGCAAAGGAGAGGTGGGGATGCTCAGAATGGGAAGTGGAGAAGAGAAATAACCACACCAAGCAAGGAGAATTTGGGGAAAGGATTTTTCTAGGGAGAAAGGCCCATGCAGGGGAATTAACCCAAGCCCACTGCTGGGGAATAATTTTATTAAAGTAGGCAATGAGCTGGATGAGACAAGTGCAGGTTTTCTGGGAGGGCTTTGAGAAGCCAACTTCATGTCTAGGGTGGCACTTTCAAGGCCCTGGGGCTCCAAATGAGTCTTATTAAATAAGCTACCTAAAAGACAATGAAACATGTATCCCCATTTCCAGTCTGCACTTTGCTTTAAAAAGCAGTACAGGGAATTTGTTAGTGGGGAAATTAGTAAGGCTGTGGAATAGGGACAGAGAGGAGACTTGAATTTTGGGGTAAATGAATAAAATGCAAGAAATAAGCAATGGTAAAGTGGACGGGCCTGGTTCTGGGATGATCACAGAGCCATGGAATGGTTTGGGTTGGAAGGGACTCCAAAGCTCATCCAGCTCCACCCCCTGCCATGGGCAGGGACATTTTCCATAGACCAGAGTGCTCCAAGCCCTGTCCAACCTGGAGCTGTGGGAACAGCCAGGGACCTTTATGGAGGTTGTAAAAGAGCTTTTGACTTCCATGAGACTCTGTCATTTGTCACTCTGCCTGGCTCCTGGTGTGACATAATCCTGCAGGGGAAACCCATCCCCATCCCTGCCCAGGAGCCCTGTGGAGAGAAAGAGAACAGCTGCCCAACTTTTGAGATAAGGATTTATCCACAGTCGTGCAGTGATTGCTTGGAGATGGATGGATGGATGGATGGCAGATGGAAGGATGGATGGATGGATGGCAGATGGATGGATGGCAGATGGAAGGATGGATGGAGGGATGGAGGGATGGATGGATGGAGGGATGGCCTGCACAGAGGCAGGAATTTGTCACCAGAGCAAACTGAGTTGGCAGTCAGCTCCCAGGAGATATGAACTTAGTGATTAAACCAGTCACACTAGTGAGGAAATTCTGGGTGATTAAGCTCACAGTCAGAGATTATTGGTAATGACCCACTATAAAGTGCGTTGTCATTTTATGGTGTGTGCCCTGGGGCTCATTTCATCAGGAATTGGTCTCAGAGCATCCCAAGGGGCTTCACCATGGAAAACTGTTTTATTGCCCACGCTGCTGTACTCCTGGACCTTATTCTTGTAATATCTCATCTTCCAAAAGCTCTGCAATTAATTAATCAAAGCACAGAGGGCTGTAACCCAACAGAGTGATAAGAGGAGGTTTGGGGTAGATCTGTTGCTCAGAGCTTTGAGTGAGCGGCGGAACAGCAAGTCCTGGAAAAAGAAATAACAGGAATGCTTTGAAAAGAACATTGCTCAGGATGTCTCCCAGTGGAGGGTGCTTCAAATTGATCCAGGACAGTTTAATTTTACGAGCCAGTTTTAGATTTATAGATTTCCCACCACATATTAGGGCAAATTCACTGCATATCTTCCAAACACAGCATTCCCTTGCTCCATTGACCATATATAGAAGCAAAACACAAAACCAGCACTCAAAACTCTGAGGCCTGCCAAGAGATAGGCCATCCAAAGTGATAAATATATATATAGGGGACAAGAGCTGCCATATATGGCTGTGGCAGGGAGGCAGCATGGGCTGCACCCTGCTTACACAACGGGAAGAGTTGCACTTGGCACTGCTTTTGTGGTACTTGGATTTTTAGCAATCAGGGCATTTCTGGGCTTGGGATTTTCACCTGCTGCAGTTTTGCTGTGCAGAGTTGGTTTTTCCTTTCTGTTCTTCCAGCTTGCTGTGCGTAAACCCTGCAGAGAGCTGATGGCCAAGTTTACACTGTCCCTCAGCCTTCTGTGCTTTTGCTCCCTTTTTCTGGATGTTTTGGGGGCTTAGTCATCAGTTGCTGGTGGTTTGTGTTCCTCCAGCTCTTGTGACTCTGCACATCTGGGATGTGCAACAGAGAAGTTTGGTCTTTCTAGAAGTGTAATCTCTGTCCACATTTGATGCTGTTTTAGGCGGTGAAACATCCAAAAACTGCACCAGACAAAGGGGGCAGCCCTTCTGTCTTTCCTAGAAAGAAGGATATGAGCTGTCCCAGATAATTACTGATCATTTACCTTAATTCAGGAGAATAATTTCCTTTGCAAGCAACTGTGTGAGTAACCTTTGCTGTCAGTAGCACAGAGTTTCACCTCAGAGGTTTCTCTGGTGCAGTCCCAAGAGGCACTGACTGGAAAGTTGTCCTCAGTTCAGTCTTGGCCCTGGATAAGATGAAGAAGTGTGGGTTTAGACTGGACATTGGGAAGGAATTGTTCCCTGTGAAGGTGAGGAGGCCCTGGCACAGGTTTTCCAGGGAAGCTGTGGCTGCCCCATCCCTGGAAATGTCCAAAGCCAGGTTGGATGGGGCTTGGAGCAGCCTGGGACAGTGGAAGGTGTTCCTGCCATGGCAGGGGTGCAATTGGATGAACTTTAAGGTCCTTTCCAACACAAACCATTCCATGATTTTATGATGATCTCACATGTGCAGCTCCACCTCAGAATGATGGAAAATCTGCTTCTCCTCTGTGGTGATGGTGGATCTTCTTTCACCCAGGGATTATGAGATACCTGCAAGATCTAGTCCCTAGTTTGTCCAAAAGAGGGACAAAACTATTTCATAACTGTTTCTTTGTCTATTCTGTTTTTCTTGGTGCTGATGGAATTGATAAATCTTCGTAAATAAAATACAGACAGTACATAAGTCAAAACAATTAAATATTTTCCAGAGCTCCAGTATCTGCAAAACTGCAGTGCACGCAGGGGTCATTTCAGATGAAAGAGGAGGCTTTGTGGACGTGATGCCTGTGGAGAAGAAGAAAACCTACGTGGGCTCCTTAAGGAACGGCGTCCAGTCAGAGAGGTGAGATTTCCTTCCTTTGCACTTCCCTCTTCTTTCCCAGCGATTTCAGCTGCCTGGGAGAGTCAGCAGATATCAGCTTGACTTGGGGAGAAGTGACTTCCCAGTGTCCCTGTGAGCTGTGACAGCCAAGCAAATGGAGCGTGCTGTCCTGCTCGTTCCTCCCCCAGCCAGGAGCTGTGCTCAGGCTGCTGTGAAATGCTGTTAAACCTTGTTAGATTCTGTCACAGCACAAATCCATGCTAATACATTTTGCGATGTGTTTAACACATCAGGAGGTCAGCACAGGTATTTGCAGTTCTCAGCCCGGGTCATGATTTGGGTTTTGTAATTTGGATTTCCATTCAGTTCTAGGTGTGGGATTCATTTGTTCATCCATGTCCTCTATTCTCTTTGAAATAAGTAAATTAACCTCTTGAGACATGATCAAATACTTTTTGAAGATTCATTTGCCACCCTTGTAGGTATTTTTTGTAGTTTCTCAATTTCAGTGACCAATTGCAAATCTGTGCTTCCAAAATCCCGCACCTCCTCAAGACCACAACAATCCTGTCACAGCCCATCCAGTCCTTCCTAATCTGAGACTTCACTTTCAACCTGTTATGTGTTTTTTCAGATATTGGTGTGATGGCACTTATTTCTCAGGGCTATCTTCACAAGCACAAATTTTCTCACAGTTAGGGGGGTTTTGGTCAATTCTAACTCTGTCTGCTCTGGGCAGTTTTTCTTTTATAAAGAGCATAAGAAATTCTATCAAGTTTTCTGGTTTTATTCTAATAATAGATATTCCAGAATGCTTTAGAGCATCTCAAGAAATAAAAGCAGACTAAGACAGGAAAGCTGTTAAATATGGGGGTTTTAATATGGATTACCAGGGTCAGCATTTTCCAATCGGATAACTTGGATTTAGGTGAAAAACCTCCTGTTGCTTTGAATTTTTTTATCTCAGTCTTGCTTTCACTTATATTTTATACTAAAAGACAACTTTTTACTGGGATGGCAAACTGTGCCCTAGCTCAGAATAAATCCCACCCCTCCCAGGGAAATGCAATGTGAGCAGCCAGTGCTGATCTGAGGGGTGAGGGAAACCAGAGACCTTCTCACAGTGGGGATGAACATTTGGAAAGTGTTATTTACACTCAGCAATAAGGAGCAGCCTCATGCTGTGAGATCCACCAGACACTGAAACAGCTTTTCCATGATCAAGGTGAACCCTCACCCTTTAGGACACTGGAAATAACCTTGAGTAAAGACATACACCCAAACAGGTATGGGAAAAGATTTCCTTGAGGGTTTACTGGGTCATTACCCTTGTTGCAATGTTTATCTTGTGGGAATATGAAATTTTGTATTTTTCCTGAGTTTTTTCAGTACTGCAGGACACGGGAATAGAAACACCCCCTTTCCCCAAGCACACATCCACCCCAAGCAGCTGGGGACACCTCTGCAGGTTGAAAAGGAATATCCATATTTATTGTCATTTACCATGAGCTGATGGGGCCATTCCTACTCCCAGCTCTAGGAGCCAAGCCAGACAGGCTCTGGGAAGCTGCCAGCCTATTTGACAGCAGGTTTTTTTTAGGAAAACATATTCCTCTTTATGCCTGAATCTCTGCACAAGGGAGCACAGTGTTCCTTGGATAAAAGCTAGGGCTGTAAGAGAACCTGTTGTCTTCCAACTCCTTTTTTTGGCATTAGCACTACAGATTTGGATTGAAAACATTACAAAAAGGATGCAACCGTGGATTTGTGCCACTTCTTTCTCATCCTTTATCTTTCTCCTGCTCCTGGTAGGAAAGAGATAGGGGAAACTCAGAGCTGCCTGTTTGGGTTCTGTGTTGTGTTCACTTGTTTTATTCCATGTTTGTTTTCTTTTCTTTTTTTCTTTGTCTCCAGCTTGAAGAACCCTTCAGATGGGAATGCCTTCCGAATCTTTGCTGTGAAGCAGTAAAAAACCCCCCAGGGAAGGTGCAGGTTCCTTTGGGAGAGCTCTCTGTTGATCTCCAGAGACGCCAAAAGCTCCTCTGAACAGCATCAGCTCTGCCCGTACCCTCCTTGCCCATCTCCTTCAGGGAATTCCAAAAGAAAAGGGGAAAAAAAAAAGAAAAAACCCCAAAAAAAGACCCCAGGTTCTGACTCAGCTGTTGGCATCTCATCGCACCCGTGCAGCGTTGTATCTTTTTTTGTCTCGTGTTTTGTGTTTCTCTAGGGGCATTCAGCGACCATGAACTGTTCTAGGTTTTGTTCTACCAGAGGTGTTGCTACACAGGATGGTGGTGGCTCCACGTGCAGCAGATTCAGGGATCTCAGCCTGGCCCTGGATGGTGTTTTGAGGGTGTGAAGCTTCTCCTGGGATGGGTGTGAAGATGAGGAGACTCGGGAGTGAGCGACTGTCCAGGCGCTGGGCACTTTGAAATGAGAAACTCATTGAAAAAATGGCATTGTCTGGGGAGAGGATGGGCTTTGACAGAGTGATTTTGTGTGTGTTGGATGGTTTCTGTGCAAAAAGGCATAAAAAGTGGTGTTTTCCCACTGAGGTGACGTGCAGCAGCTGTGTGAGGCTGCTGGGTCCCTCGAACGATGGGGTTTGGGGATGTTCTTGGCAGCCAAAATTAAGGTTTTGTGGGCCTGGAGCAGGGTGTAAAACGGTGGCAGAGATCCTCACTGCAGAAAATGAGGCCACCAGATCATCCAAAGAGCAGGTTTGGTGTTTGCTGGTCAAACACTCCCAGGTATTTTGGCAACCTCTGAGCAGTCAGAGAATTGGGGCTCCTGTGCTGGCGCATCTCATCCTATACTCCACGCCGTAACTTCAGTTAAATGCAGTGTATTGGTTTATACAGCAGTGCTGGTTGTTTTATAGTAGTTGAGTAGTGATAAAATTAATCTTATTTCTGCTAGGAATGGTTGCATCTGTAGGAAACGGGTTCACTTTCCCTTTGTGAAGCTCCTTGTGGTGTGTGCAGTTCTGAGACTTTAAAGATGTAAACATGAGCATTTGATATCCAGGATGGTGGGTTTTGCAAAACTCATAAGGTGTTGTAATGGTGTTATTCCATATTTTGATATTTTTGTCTTGATGTGCACCCAAATTCATTTCAAAGCCAAGAGAAGGGCTCAGCATGAACTGCTTTTTTTTAGGCAGAAGGACATTCTCTGCTGCATATTGGAAATGAATTTTTATGATTGATCTAAACACAAATCTGGTGAGTTTTTATACACACACATGCAGTAACTTCATCAGTCATGAGAAGACACAGCCAACAGTGATTCTTCAGTTTTTGTAAATGCGCAGTCCTTCCGTTCAATGAATTGTAATATTGGATAACAAATGGGAAAATATTTCCCTCTGTTTGGCTGATGTTTCACAGCTGCTTTTACGCCCAGAATATGTTTGGTTTAATCTGGACAGACATAAGCATTTATATGATTAAATTCATATTTAATTCTGTAAACACCATGAAATCACCAAGGAAATGGCATTTAAATGACATTTATCACTCAGTTTGTCACTCCACTGGGATTTATTTCTCCGTAAAATCTGAATTTGGGATGAAAACCTGAAATTGGAGCTGCATTTCACTGTCTCCAAAGATACTGCACAGAAAAGCCACTTTGGGGTGGATAGAGAGAAGTGACCCTTTGTGTCATCTGTTAATGTAGTATTGTCGTCCAAGGTGTACAGTATAGATAGGAAAACTGAACCATTTCCTTTTCTTACTAAATAAATTGGTGTTAAAACCAGCTGGAACATATCCTAGAAAATCTGCTGGTTGGGAGCATTTGAGATGTTGGCAGTGAGGAGAAGCTCCCCCTTTTCTGCCCGCTGTGAAGCGTTGGGGTGAGCGTGGTCTGGTTCCAGCCCATCCAACACTGCAGCAAGAATCTGGGACCAAATCCCAGAATCCTGGGCCAAATGGGCTGGGAATGGAACTGGGGAGAGTGAGAGGTGCAGTCAGGTTCATGGGGACTGCAGGAGCACATAAAACACCTCGGCTCTAGCGTGGGGTCCATGAAAACTACGGATGGAAGGTGATGGAAAGGACTGTGAGGGCTCTTGGAGTAAAACCCAGGGGATTACTGAGAGCACATAAAAACCCAAACAGCTGGGGATGTATCTAGGTGACAGAAAGGGGACAGGGGAAGGGTTATTATTCCAACAGAAATATCCTAAAATGCTTAATTCAAGTTACAATCGCGTATTTTTATCTTCAGCCAACTGGTTTGGATTTTTAGAAACCGATGTTAATTTAAGTCTGTATCTGTTTATTTTTGTATTTGTTGTACAAAAGAGAAATTGTGACTTTACTACACAAATATTTTTCGAGGTCCTGGGTGCTATTAATTTAAACATACCTCCCCCAGAATTAGGGGTGATCAGGTCCTCCAAGGCAGTCATGACCTGTCAATGACTCGCAATCGTGTGTGCTAGCTATTCATGAAGAGGTGGGACAGTACCAGTTTTTTTAGCCAAATATTGACAGATTTTTATTTCTGATACCAAGACATTTCTCAGCCTGCTATATTTCAGTGCAGCTTAAAGATGCATCATCACGTCTGTCTCTCACCAGGCCCTCTCCTCCTCAGCCCCAGCTCTGCAGATCTGTAGGCACCTGCAGCATCCAGGTGCAGACAAAGCTGGTGCTGCTGCCTGGTTGTTCCTTTCCAATAATTTGGGGGTTGGAAGCAATGGCTTGGTCATTGCAGAACACCTGGCTCAGCCCAACCTCCAGGAGACACAACCAGGGTGGAATCCAGAGCCTGGGCTGGTGGGGCCTTGGCTCCACTCATTCCTTGTTTTTAAGACTTCCAGCCAACAGCTGGTTGAGGAGGCTCCAGTTTGTCACTTGTGCAGTCTAAATATTTAGGGCCAGTTCATAGAGTTGCTTTTCTTTTTTTTTTTTTTCTATGAAAAATGGTGTATTTTACTTCCTATGTATAAAAGTTACTTGTAAATTTTTGTGTGCCTATGCATGTTTTCCAAGGGGCTGTGGTTGTTTATAAACTAGATTTTTTTTTTTTTGGGTCTAAATACAGAATTGTAAAGTATCTTTTCCTCCCTACCCTTCCATTTTCTTTTGATTTCTGAATTATTTGTGAAATAAAACCTTCCCAGAATGAATGCTTCTCTTGTCTTTAATGCTCAGCCAGAGTTGGGTTGGTGTTTAGAAAAGCTATTTGGGATAATTTCTGGGGACTGGAGTGTCCCCTGGAGAGTCCAAATGAGATTGGGATGTGCAAGCCCTGTTCCACAAACAAATAAACTGCCCAGTACCCAGGCATCAAAAATAAGAAGTATTCTTAGTGAAACATACTGAGAGTAAGGGAAAATCACTGCCTGTCTTTGAATCCATGCAACATAAGGGCTGAGTTAGATTAATGGGTTGGAAATGGTGTTTAATGATTTAGTGCTGCAAAATACGAGAGAGGTGAACTCCTCCCCACCTGAGCAGGCTGGTGTGAATTCATTTTTTGAAAGGAAAAGTATTCAAATTTTGCAATTCCCTTTGAAATTTTCTCCAGGCTCATCCTTGCTGACAGCACCACAAATCAAACCAAGATTTTTCCTGGTAATCCAACCCCATTTGGTTAAAGGAGCAACGCAGGGAGGTTCATAACTCATCCTCCAGACAATGAGCACCAGATGGGTTTTGACCAAAAATGTGGGCTGGGCCACGGGATGGGGTCCTGATTGACCAGGCCATGAAATTTGTGTTTTTCATTACCTATACAAGAGGATTAATGTTAAATGGAGAGATGTTTGCTTTACTCCAGGGCTGGGCTGATGCAGTTCTGGTTGAACAGCATTTCCCTGTAAATCCCAGCCTAGGACTGATGAGATAACCTCATTATCGCCCTGCCACTGATTTCTATCAAAGGCAAGTTTCATGGCTCCTGCATGCTCTGCAACTCCAAACTGCCCATTTGAACTTACTTTGTGCTTTCCTTCCCCTATTCTTACTGCTGCAAAAATATCTCCTTTGCTGAAAATATTTGGGAAGATTTTCCTAAGCAGACCTTCAAGGTAAGCAGAGAGAGGAATTCAGGAATTCAAGGTAAGCAGAGAGGGGAATTCAGGAACTCAAGGTAAGCAGAGAGGGGAATTCAGGCTTTTGGTCATTGTGAGGATGCCTAGTGCATCCCATTAATGGCAACAGTTGTTTGATATCCTATTTCTTGGTGCTACAAAATGCCCCACTCTGTGATTTGGAACCTGATGGTATTTAAGGTCCATTCCAACTAAACTCACTATGATTCTGAGAGTTCTGTGGTAAAATTTAGGTCCTGGTTGGCCTAGAGAGCAAAACAGCAAAACACTCAAAATTTAGGGCTGAACATGACCCATCCTTTGGGTCAGCTTGCCATCCTTTGACACTGTCTCTGGTTTTGTCTCCTCCTGCTCGAGCCCTGGGCTTTGTGCTCTGCTTGTCCAGCAGAAATTGGTGTTATCACAAGTGAGAGCAATGTGGCAAACAGAGCTGTGCCTCTTCCTGTACAACAGGTATGAAAACCAGGTAAGGAAGGCTCAGGGGGATCACAGAGCCAGGAGAAATATTAATTGTTTTTTCCCCAGTTGGGGTGGGTCCAGATTCTGCTTTAGCTGATAGGGCATAAATATTGGCAGAGTGAAGGAAAGTAGAGGGAAAAGGAAAGATAAACCCACGTGAAGCTGGGCGAGGGTGGCAGATCTGATATTCCCACATTGCTGGCAATCCTTGGGGATCAACCAGCAGCCAGGCTCTCTCTGCTTGCTGCTCCAGGCACAAATATCTCATTGCTGGCTGTTTTGCCTGCTGCTGGCTGCTCCTCAGCCCGTGCTGAGCTCATCAGAGCCTATGTATAGCGCGGGCATGCCTTGGGGTGGGTGCCCTTCCAAAAACCCACAGTCATTTATAGGCTGCGCCCCCAATGTTTTCAAAGCCACTTTGCAAACGATGGGGTTGGCTCTCA